ATATATATATATATATATATATATATATATATATATATATAATGAAATAAATTTTAAGGATTGTTAGAGAAAAATATGCAGAAAAATATTTTTTGTAATGTTACGGAAATGACGTCACCGACGAAATTCAGAATTCGCTTCTTTTTTTTATTATTATTTTTTTTTTTTTTACCTTTCTTACATTTAAATCTTGGAATAATAACAATAATAATAATAATAATAGAATGAAAATCTGTTGCCAAAAGGGAAGACATTTTTTTTCTCCAACTTCCGGTTTTTTTAGACTAAAAAAAAATAAAATAATTTTTTTTTTTTTTTTTTTTCAAAGGATTTTTTAAACATATTGTCCAAAGTTTCGAGAGGAAGCATTCAAGAAAAACTTCAATGGATTTTCGGATTGTACGATTTGAACGGAGATGGTCTCATAACGAAAAGCGAAATGCTTGACGTGGTTACATCAATTTACGAAATGCTCGGAAGGTACACGGAACCCCAAGTCGAAAAAAATTCAGCTAAGGAACACGTGGAAAAATTATTTCACGTAAGTTGGAGAGAGGGAATAAAAAATTTAACATGGAGGCACGGCAGGAGCATCAGGACGTGTCATCAGACACGATTTTTTCAATTTTCCAAAAGGAAAAATTATATTAATTTCTTGTTTTTTCATTATTATCAACACATTAGATTTAATTTTTAATTAATTTTTTATTTTTTCAACAGCAAATTGATACGAATAAAGATGGCGTCGTAACAATTGATGAACTTGTCGAATGGTGTTCTAGAGACGAACAAATTCTTCAATCCCTCGAAACGTTGGATACCGTATTGTGATCTCTGAGGGCATGGCCCCTCATATTTTTCTACTTGGACCCCACATTTTGTTTTTTTTTTTTTTTTTTTTTTTTTTTAAATTAAAAAATTTTACGTTGCCTCGTTGCGAAAAATTCGTTTTTTGAATTTTAATTAAGTCATTTGTTATTTTTTTCTGTTTAACTAGACTTTTTTTAATTTACATTTTACGTACAGAAAAAAGCGAGACCATCTCGTTTTATACATTTTTAAAATGAAGAAAAAAAATTATATTTATCTTGGAAAAGTGTAATTTGTAAACGTGTGTAACTAAACTAAAAGACTGGTGACGTGGTGAAAATGTATTTACGTAAAAATAAATAAAAAAATTGTATTTAATTAATTTTTTATGTAGATTTAAAAAAAAAAAGAATATTTATATAATCTGTTGACACTTTTGCATTGATTTTATATAAACGTCGATTATTTTTTTTAGTGTGAAAAAATTTAATTATTATTATTTTAATTAATTGTTGTACACACACACACACACATTTATATACGTAAATCAATAATCGATAAATTTAAATTTAAAAAAAAAAAAAAAAAAAATATGGCGTCGTTTTGTATAATTATTTAAAATTTAATATTAAAAACGTTTTAAAATTGTTTTTCGTCGTTACATAAGATCAAAAGAAAATTATTATTATTATTATTATTTATTTGTTAGTTAAATGAGTATTTATTAAAATATAAGTGTATATTTATTAATATGTAAATGATTTAATAATATTCTCGTTATGTAAATAATAATAATAATAATAATAATAATAATAATAATAATAAATTGTACGTCAATGTCGGTATTTATTTAACAAAAAATCATTATAATTATTATTATTATTTATTTATTTTAAAAAGATTACGAATATAACGTAAGAATAGTCTCATCACGATCTTTCAAATAAAATAGATTATTAGTTTTATTAGTATTAGTTTGTGATAAGAAAAAAAAAGAAAAAAAATTTTTTTTTTTTTTTTTTTTTAAAATAATTATGTAGATTTTGTATAAAATTTGTAATTTTTATTAATAAGAAAAAAAGAGAGGAACGAATGAATTAATTAATTATTAATTAATTAATTAATTAATAATTTTATTAAAGTGTACATACATATTTTTTTGTTTTTTGTTTTAAATTTAAATTTGTAAATAATTAAAAAAATGAAAAACGTAAGATAATTATTTATTGTTTTAAATGTCGAATGGATTTTTAAGTTTTTTTTAAATATAATAATAATATATAATAATAATTTAGTAGTTACAAACGATAATAATTATTTAGATTGAATCGCTGTTGCCAAACTCGGTTTTTTTTTTTTTTTTGGATTTAATTTTTTAATTTTTTTTTTTTTGCTGCATACATGATTGACCTACATTTTTTTTTAAAATGTTTTTTTCTTTTTTTAATTTTTAAATTAAATTAAAAACATAATAATAATAATAATAATAATAATAATAATAATAATAACACGAATGCTTTCAATGATTAAAAAAAAAAAAAATGGTTTTTGGGTCATGTGAAGAGTCAAATAAAATTTTTTTTTTTTATAAAAGTTTTCATGTGTATGAGCAATTCAAAATGGAATTTATTTAATATGGGGAAAAAAAATAAATAAATAAATAAATTTATTAAATCAAAAGCTTTAATAGTCGTACCTGCTTTAATAATAATAATAATAATAATAATAATTTTAAAATCCATAATAAATTGATTGAATGATGGTTTAATTTTTTTTTCTTTTAATATTGTTATTATTATTATTATTTTTTTTTTATTATCTTTAAGTTATTTTGTTGATAAGTCAATGTTTTATCAATTTTTATTTATTTTTTGTTTGTTTTTTTTTTTTAGGAGAGTAGAGTTTTAATAATAAACACAGCCATGACATGTTTTTCATATATTTTTTTTTTGTAACGTTTTTTTAAAAGTAATCATGTTAAAAACGCTTCATGCAATTAGATAAATAATAAATTTTTTTTATTTATTTATGTGTGTTTATTGTAATTATCAGTATATTTGAGTTTATTTAAAAAATAAAATCATTTTATTTAAGTTTATATTTTATTTTCTTGAATTGAAAAAATACATTTTTAATTTTATCTTTTTTTTTTTGTTTTGTTTTTAATCTAATATTTTCAACCCTGTCAATTATTTTCACGTTTAAAAAGAACGTTATTTAAATAACAAAAAAAAAAATTATAAAGTACAAAATATAAAATAAATAAATGAATTATTATTAAAATATTTATATATATTTAATTGAATTTGGCGGAAAATTTAAAAATGTCGTGGCATAAGACGGTTATACGTTTCACTTTTGACATTGCTCTTTGGTGAGACGGCATCACGATTTTGTTTTGAATGACGTGTAAGTTTCGTTTAAATTCTTTTTTTTTTTTAAGTTACGGTAATGTCTATTTTTAAAATTAAATATCAATTTTTATTTATTTATTATACAATATAATAATAAAAGTTAAAAAAAAAAAAAGTCTTCGCGTTTTTAAATAAATTTTTTTATAGTTTTGTTATTATCAATTACCCCAATAAATGCAATTATAGTGAAATATATTCTTGTTCAGTTTTTTTTGAAAACAGTATTGTTCGAACGAAATGGCTACATACGAAGAATTTATTCAGCAAAATGAAGATAGAGATGGTATAAGATTTACGTGGAATGTTTGGCCTTCTAGTAGAGTTGAAGCAACAAAATTAGTGGTGCCTCTTGGTTGTTTGTATCAACCTCTCAAAGAACGGCCAGGTAATCAAAAAAATCTAAAAATACCCTTGATATTATAAGTTTAACCTACAGTCATTGACAATTGCATTGAATACTAAATGTATATACTTTATTTCATGCTATTTAATTAATTTTAAACAAAAATAATATTCAATCATTTGGCATATTGCGTTCCTTTTCTCTGTTACCTCTAACCGACCAATTTGAAACATTTTAATTTTTAATTCTTATTTAATTTTAGATTTACCTCCTATTCAATATGATCCAGTATTATGTACACGAAATACATGCAGAGCAATTTTAAATCCTCTTTGTCAAGTCGATTTTCATGCAAAACTATGGGTTTGCAATTTTTGCTTCCAAAGAAATCCAGTTAGTAGTATTTTAAATTTTTTTTTGCTTAATAATTTTTTTTATTTAAAATAACTCATTTTAATATGTATTATGACATTTTTAGTTTCCACCTCAATATGCAGCAATATCAGAACAAAATCAACCGGCCGAGTTGATTCCGATGTGTTCTACAATTGAATATACTTTACTTGTAAGTAATTAAACAAATTATTAAAATTTATCTTATCAGTTTGCATTCGAGCATTCGATGAAGTTAAAATTGTAATAATTATTCATTTATTCCACATTATAATTATTATTATTATTGTATTTGCTTATTATTTTGCTTCATGGGAAAAAATCTTTACTTTTTTTTTGCAGAGAGCACAGTGTTTGCCCCCCATTTTTCTTCTTGTAGTCGATACATGTGTAGATGATGAAGAACTGGGAGCTCTTAAAGATTCACTTCAAATGTCACTTAGTTTATTACCTTCTAATGCATTAATAGGTCTTATTACATTTGGAAGAATGGTTCAGGTTTCTGGCTTTCTTACACGATCTCTCTACTTGAAAGTAATTTTAAATTACAGGAAAATTTATACATTTACTAATTTTTTTATTAGGTTCATGAATTAGGGTGTGAGGGTATTTCAAAAAGTTATGTCTTCTGTGGGACTAAAGATTTAAATGCTAAGCAAATTCAAGAAATGTTGGGTATAGGACAGTATTCTGCTGTTCAACAGCAAGGACCTCAAGCGAGAAATCATGGTCAACCACTCCCTCCAGCGAATAAGTTAGAAAAAAATTATTATTTATTATTATTATTATTTTTGTTTTTTAAATTGAATTTAATTATTAATGATAATATTATAGATTTCTTCAACCGGTTCATAAGTGCGATATGAGTTTAACCGATTTGCTTGGAGAACTTCAAAGAGATCCTTGGCCTGTCACTACGGGGAAAAGATCACTTCGTTCTACTGGTGTTGCACTTTCCGTGGCTGTTGGTTTACTGGAGGTAATAACATGATTTGGGAATAAAATAATTATTCGAGCAAAGATTAAAAAAAAATTAATAATTGACTTAAATTTTTTTTAGTGTACGTATCCTAACACGGGAGCTAGAATTATGTTATTTGTCGGAGGGCCTTGTTCTCAAGGTCCAGGTCAAGTTTTAGACGATGAATTAAAACATCCAATTCGTTCTCATCATGATATTCAAAAGGACAATGCAAAATATTTAAAAAAGGCTACAAAACATTATGAATCATTGGCTATGAGAGCAGCCACAAACGGTCATGCGATAGATATATATTCCTGTGCCTTAGACCAAACTGGTTTGCTAGAAATGAAACAATGTTGCACGTCGACGGGGTAAATTTTTTTAAAATTTTTCAACTTGAAATGATTTCAAAAACTTTTAATAAACTCGTTTGGGTAAAATTTCAGGGGTCACATGGTTATGGGAGATTCATTTAATTCATCGTTATTTAAGCAAACCTATCAGAGAGTTTTTACGAGGGATCAAAAGGGAGATTTAAAAATGGCTTTTAACGGCACGATCGAAGTCAAATGTTCAAGAGAACTTAAAGTTTCCGGTGCCATCGGTTGTTGTTTATCCTTAAATATGAAAGGACCTTGCGTGTCCGACACAGAAACAGGATTGGGAGGCACGTGTCAATGGAAACTCTGCACTTTCACCCCAAATTCCACTTGTTCGTTTTTTTTCGAAGTTGTTAATCAAGTAAGGAAATAATTTTTAATTTATTTTAATCATTTAACTTTAGGTTTTTTTTTTAAATGTTACCCTTTACATTTTAGCACGCTGCTCCCATTCCTCAGGGAGGAAGAGGTTGCATTCAATTTATAACTCAATATCAACATGCCAACGGTCAGCGTAGAATTCGAGTAACAACCGTTGCACGAAAGTAATACAACTTTTTGTTATAACTTTAAAGTTTTCTTTGTTTTTTTTTGTTTTGTTTTGTGGCAAAAACAATTTTTTTCGTACATTTCAGTTGGGCTGATGCCGGTGTTAATTTACACCACATAAGTGCGGGTTTCGATCAAGAAGCGGCAGCCGTTTTAATGGCTAGAATGGTTGTTTACAGAGCGGAAACGGAAGATGGTCCCGACGTTCTTAGATGGGTTGATAGAATGCTGATTAGATTGGTAAAAAAAAAAAAATTGTGACTCTTTGAAACTTGAAAATAATTTATATATATATTTATTTTTTGTCTTTTATTTTCAGTGTCAGAAATTCGGAGAATATTCCAAGGATGATCCGAACAGTTTTAGACTGTCGGAAAATTTTAGTCTTTATCCACAATTTATGTATCATCTAAGGCGTTCACATTTTTTACAAGTTTTTAACAATAGCCCAGACGAAACTTCTTTTTATAGGTGACTCCCCCCCCCCTTTTTTTTTTTTTAAAAACTCGATTACAAAATTCTATAATTGTAAAATAACATTTTAAAATTTTCCTTTCGCTTTCTTTTTCAGGCATATGTTAATGAAAGAAGATTTGACTCAATCTCTCATAATGATTCAACCCATTCTCTACAGTTACAGTTTCAACGGACCCCCAGAACCGGTTCTATTAGATTCCAGCAGCATACAACCAGATAGAATATTACTCATGGATACATTTTTTCAAATATTAATTTTCCACGGAGAAGTAAGTTAGATGAGGGATGAGAAAATTATGTAAGGAAAAGTTTGGTTTTCCATTAATTATTTTTCCCACCCCCCCATTAAAATTCCAGACCATAGCTCAGTGGCGTGCGCAAAGATACCAAGATTTGCCAGAATATGAAAATTTTAAACAATTACTTCAGGCACCGGTCGACGATGCACAGGAAATTTTACAAACGAGATTTCCAATGCCCCGATACATCGATACGGAACAGGGAGGTTCTCAGGTATGTGCTGCAGCACACCAATTGGAAACGTCGGAGGATCTTTTTTAAATTTTGTCGGAAAAGTGTAATCAATTTCTTTTTTTTCCAGGCGAGATTTTTACTGTCGAAAGTCAATCCATCTCAGACTCACAATAACATGTATGCTTACGGAGGGGTGAGTAAACAAATTTTTTTTTTTTTTTTTTTATATGATAGAAATTCATTCTAGAAGTTTTTTTTTTTTTTTTTTCTCTCTAAAAACTCAATTTTACGTTTTGATATTTTGTTTCAGCAGGGAATGCCCATACCAAATGCGGTACCGTTTTTTATTATTATTATTATTATTATAAGTATTAATTATATCGGTGGTTTTTTTTTTTTTTTTTTTTTTTTTTTTTTTTTTTTTTTTGTATATATATAAAGGTAAACTTTTGATAGCCTGGTACGCTGGTTGGGTCTTTAAAAAAACTTCATCTTTTTCCCCCTTTTATTTCTCCCCCCCCCTTAAATTTAGCTTGGGGGTGTCGGAGGGCTAAAAAAAAATTTGCACGCGTTACTATCGCCTATAAACGAACGGAAAAATAAAATTAAAAAATCTTTTGGTGATGATTAGTTTTCGAGTTCTGCTTTCGAAATTATCGCATCGATAAATTTAAAAAGGTCAAAAGGTCAAAAGGTTCTTTTCTTCTTCTACTTCTTCTTCTTCTTCTTTACGGTCAAAGTCCGTAATAATTAACGGAATAATGCTTGGCACTTTATTGGTTTAACTACATCTGGTAGTAATGACGTCATTAATTTTTTTTTTTTTTTCCCTCTTCCCCTTCGGGGAAACAGGAAAGCGGAGCACCGGTACTCACTGATGACGTCAGTTTACAAGTATTCATGGAGCATTTGAAAAAATTGGCCGTGTCGTCGACGGCATAAAATAACTTTGGGGATCTTGCAAACGTTAGCGCGCCTGGTATGTGTTCCAATCAGAATAATAATAATAATAATAATGATAATTATTATTATTAATATATATATAAATACATATATATGTTTATATTTAAATGTAATGTAAAAAAAAAAAAAAGAAAAAGAAATAATTATGCATATTATACGAATAATTGATGATGATAATAATAATAAAAAAAAATATATAATAGATAAAAATTAGTATTAATATATATATGGAAAAAGAAAAGAAAATTTTTTACATGATAATGATGATAATGAATTAATCAATTTCCTTTTTTTTTTTAATAATAATAATAATTATTATTGTTATTATTATAACTAATTTTTTTTTGTTTAAATCGTCCCCGTACAAAAAGACGATTTGTATTATTATTATTATTATTATTATCTATCACGCTACGGATAAATTTAAAAATTTAATAATTTCTAGGCCCGAGTTTTAAGATATGTGTCGATTAATCGATATGTTTATTTATTTTTTCCCCATTATTATTATTATTATTATTATTTTTTCTTAATCTTCAATTTTTACTTTTTATTTAATAATAATAATAAATCCTATCGTTACAATTTAATTACTATAAATAATTAATTAATTAATAAAATCGAATTAATAATCGAAAAATCGAAAA